GTAATTTTATTACATGATTAATAATATTATTATCAATATTATCAATATTGAATATTGTCAAATATTATATAATAATATTATATTATATTATATTATCTAATAATATATATAATAATAATATTATAATAATATTATATTATATCAAATATTATATAATATTATCAATATCAATATTATCAATATTATCAATAAAATTAATATCAATAGAATTATTACTAATATTACATAATTAATAAAATAATAATTATTACATAATTATGGGACACCGTTTATAATTTATAAAAGTCGAGAAAGAAAGAAAGAAAGTTGAAGCACTGGCCTAAGTCGATTGTTTTACCTTGATCATGATGTTGGGTTTCAAGACCTGGAAGTCGTCCTCGTCGGCCCATGTTTGTCTGGTTTCCTTGACCGTGGCGATGCAGTATAGTTTCATAATACAATACTCCACTAGCTTATCCAGATAATCGTCCTCGGTGACTGTGAGTCGCAATTGTTCGGCTAATCAAATCAGATGCGACAATTTTATTGGATGGCAACTCTTGTGGGCATATTGTTCACTGTTATGTTGCCGCAACATGAAGACGCGAGATTATTTTAGTTAAAATTTAAAATATATTTTACAAGTCCAAGATGGAATAGAGATATACATATTGCTATCGTATAAATTGGATTTTGATTGAGCGTAAAATGGCAACTTTCTGCTAAGTGCGTGCTTGGAAGGATCTTGAACGAATGTTTGATGGGAAATACACTTTCCGGAGTACTGTTTCGGATTTTGGTGAAATATAAGTACACTGTACTCCTTAGCATATCTCCAAGTACTTTTCGAAATTTTCAAAATTGTTATTTTTACAGTCAAATAAAGCGTCAACGTTTCTCCAATAAATCATAACTATCGAACTACCAAACCGATGGAGATAAACTTTTGTGTGATTAGGATAGAAACATAAAGAATATCTAACAAGAATAAAATATATTGTAAACATTTTTGTTTTTACAAAAGTGTAAAAACAAAATCTAATAGAAAATGTTCAAATATCGCTGAAGGCTACACATATCCAAATATCGCCGAAACGGTACTCCAAAGGCAATAATGATAATAGGACTAAACCGCGAAAAGAGAGAGAAATAGTGCAATAAATTATAAACAATATAAATCGTATATAAAACTAAATAAATATGTTAGGAGCAACTGTATGGACATACTTGCGTTGGGCTGAAGCACAAAATCACCGGACGCTCTCTTCACTAGATTCGCCTTGATTCCGGTATAGTACACGCTGCCAGCGGATAGAATAGCTTGAATAGTTCGCGGCTGGTCCGATTTGTTCTTCATGTTAACCGTGACAGCGAACGATTTGCCGATGAACACGCGCGTGAGGTCGATCAGGTCGAACTCAACGTCCTCTTTGCCCGGCGAAGGCAGAGAATAAAATCTTTTGGCTAACTCGGTGCTCCGCACTGCTCTGTACAATGTCAATCGTTCCGCTTCGGTACCTGAACATAAACGAAACATTGTCTATTAAACGTGTTTGAATTAATTACAAATTACGGATCACCGGGAAGAGGCAGAATTCTAAATGAAACTTTACATCTAATGAAATCGAACGCATCTTTCAATTTGTGTTTAATCGAAACCCTCTGCACTCGAAGCCATTTTAACCGCGAATGTAATTAATTTCAAATGTAAATTAATTTTTCTGACTCGTAGTATTTCCATTTTATACGACAAAGTGCATTTTGTGCATATGAGATTTAGTTTTGTGACTCGTGCAACAGTTGCACTTTTTAACAAATTTTTTTAATCTGAACTTTGTTAATATAAAGGTGATCTTGGAACGTGACATAACAATTTTAGCGATGCTTCAGAGTCATCGCATCAGTTTTGGGACCATTTTCATCCAGAATATAAATATTGTTAATTGTGTATCTCGTTTCTGATGATTAATTTCAATTGTCACATGTTTTATTAACCCCCTCGACGAATTTAACTCGCTATGGAGATTTCTGGTAACAATCTGTTAAGTATGATTGTTATAACGTTGTTTTAACCCTTTTGTGGTGTGTTGGGCCTGTATGACTCAGATCCTGTATTGATCCTGGTATTGATCCTAGTATGACTTTTTTAGTCACCATCTTATCGAGTCAAATTTATTGAATTTAGCAAACAAATTTATATAATTTGAAAATTTATATTGAATTTACTATATAAATTTGTTTGCTAAATCCAANCAAATTTATTTAATTTAGAAAACAAATTTATATATATTGAAAATTTATATTGAATTTACTATATAAATTTGTTTGCTAAATCCAATAAATTTGACTAAATAATAAATTTGCTAAATTTGATAAATTTGAGTAAATATATATATATATATTTATACTATATAAATTTGTTTGTTAAAATCAATAAATTTGACTCGATAAGATGGTGTGTGTGTGTGACTAAAAAAGTATAAAAATATATATATAGAAAAACTAACACGTCTAGAAGAAATAGGTTAAAAACATGTTAAACAAATAATGTAAATATTACATTTTCGTGTATGTATAGATCAAATACAAAAGTAAAAATGACGTTCGTAGAATTTAATGATATCGTTGCATTATATTCAATTAATTGCGACTGTTGAAAGAGAAAAGACATTTTCGTCTAATTTACATTTATCACAATTAACTTAGATAATTTTTATCTTGCTTAGAGATCCGCAATCTAGTGTTATACATATGTATAATAAATATATATATAAGTAAATATAAGTAAGTATATAAGTATATAAGTATATATATATAAGTATATAAGTATATAAGTATATAAGTATATAAGTATATAAGTATATAAGTAAATCACGTACCTTCCTTCGCCTTGTACAGCGACGTGATGTCCTCTCTGTCCCTGTCGCCGTTAGGATCGAAGATCCAAGGTGCCTTTGTCAATATCATACGGCCGATGCTGTTCGAAAAAAAAACACAGACATTTTACATTCAATTCCTTCGCAAGCAAGGCTTTGTCAAACAGCAAGATACTGGTTTGAACCTGTCGATTGATGCACGACGAAAATAAACGTTTTAATCGTCCGTGCACACGAAAAGTCGTCGGGAATGCAATTATCATGGAGTTTACAATCGCGGATCGCCCAAGTGTATTAGCATAAATATTTCGTAGTAGCACGCGTTGGGATTACTATGCAAATCGACGGTGTGTGTCATTCGTCACGGCTGCGCCAAGGTCAAGATTACCGATGCAGCTATGAATTTAGTACGTGTAAATGACTCAGACAAAAGTTAAGTACCCGCAATAACGTTGTTTACATTGCAATCGAGAGGTTTTTAACGTCGTTAATAACATACCGACTTCGCGTAATTATGCGCATACGATAGTTAATCTTGCACCGCTCCCTGAATTCGCGTGATTTTCACAAAAGTAGGAAATCATTTTGATCGGCAGATCGAACGTTCAGAGACAAGCTCCGCAGTTCTTTCCTGTTCTAATTAGTTCTCTCATAACGAGGCAAAGATACTTTAAAGAGTGCCAGTTTTTTTTTTATGATACGCGAGACAATTAAATAAAATGATAGGACGATGAAAATAATTGTAAGAAGAAGAATTGGAAGAAAATTTGATTATAAGAATAATTGAAAATTGTCGTTATAATTATCGTATTATATTGTATTATATTGCATTATATTATTATATGTTACTGTATTATATTTTATATTTTTTATTTCTATATTTTAGATTAATAATTAATAACATCAACGGATTAATCATTATTTAGACAGACACTAATCTCTAACATGAGCAAGTACGACTTCTTTTTAACACTAGAACTGCAAAAAACCGGTCAAAATTTATATTTCTGATTTTGTCTTCCACAATTTTTGATAATGTAAAGATATCCTTATGTTCACATCTGATCTAAACTTTTAGATTCACTTTCTAAGCCAAGCATATACAATAATAAAACTGTTACGAAGTTTAAATAAATTCCACCTTATCTTTTTTCACA